TTGGTTACTGTATTCATTTATCTTAGGTTTCTCATAGTAGAAAATATGCAATATTTGAATCTTGTTTACTTTGCTTCACATGGACTCCAGTTCCCTTTTCTTATAAATGACACAATTTCATTCTCCTATACGACTGAATAAAATTTCATTACAGAGTCTCGAGCCAGCAGGAGGCTGTCAACTTCCATAACAACGCCTAAATCAAAGGAACTTGTTTCTTCAAGCTCTTCAGGCAGCGACTCTGACAGGGAAGTAGACAAAAAGAGGAAAAAGCAAGTTGCTCCAGAAAAGCCCATAAAGCAGAAGACTGGTGACACTTCAAGAGCTCTGTCATCTTCTAAGCAGAGGGAGAAACCCTTCTATGTTACTGGTGGGAATGACGATAACGTTTCAGATTGGGAAAATGAGATATGTCAGTGTTCAGGACTTTAAAGGGAAAGTTCTAACTGATATTAGAGAATATTGTGTGGATCCAGAAGGTGAAATGAAACCAGGAAGAAAAGTTATTTCTTTAAATCCAGAGCAGTGGAGCCAGCTGAAGATTTCTGACGTTGATGATGCAATAAGAAAACTAGAATCTGAGCCATAAAAACCTGTACAGTTGTAGTTGTTTTACCGTCTTTTTACATTGGCTTTTGTTTTCCAAACGTTGTTATCCAAGCTGTTGTATATTTGGATTGCAGAACAATTTGTAAAATGAATACTTTTTTAACGTGCATTATTAAAAATGATCTGAGTGACACTAATTATCAACTTTATTAAAGAGGATAATTTAATATCCTCTTTGTGGTCACCACCTAGTATAAAATAAAATCAAGTAATTAAAAAAAAAAAAAGTCTTGGGCCAGGGAGATAGCTCAGTAGAATAAGCGCTTGACTGGCAAGTGCAAGGCCCTGTGTTCAATTCCCAGTACTTAACAAAAAAAAACAAAAAAAAAAATCTCATTACATATACTACCTTTTCCCTAACCATTCCTCTGTTAATGCACAACTAGACTGTTTCCATAGCTTAGCTATTGCAAAGTACACCATTATAAACATGTATGTATTACTTTAAATGCTGTCTTTAATTTTTTCAGGGGGGGCTGGGTAGATAGCTCAGAGGTCTAAGCACCTGCCTGGCAAGCCCAAGCACCAGAGTTCAATCCCCTATACGAGTCGCAGCCTACATGTAGCAAGACCCTGTACCAAATAAAGAAAGATTAAAATTCTTTCAGGAATACACCCAGGAATGAGAGCTGGATCAAGCACTTATTTCTATGTTTGGTTTAGGAACCCCTGCACTGACTACCACAGTAATTTTACTAGCCTAAATTCTCACAGTAACATAGAAGGGTTTCTCCCTTGTTATCCTCACCAACAAAACTGGATTTTTATATTCTTTATGAAAGCCATTCTGGTTGGGTTGGGATGAATTGTCAATCAGTTTTGATTTGTATTTCTCTGGTGGCTAAAGATGGCAAACCACCCCTCTCCTCCCCCACCCTTATTAGCCATTTGTACTTCTTTTGAAGAGTGTCTATTCAGTTCATTTGCCAATTTTTACTTGGGTTGTTTTGGGGACATTAATTTTTTGTGTTCTTTATACACCCTAAATATTATCCCTCTATCTGAATAGCTAGCAAATATTTTTGCCCAATTCAGAAGGTTGTCCTCACTTTTTCCTTTGTTGTGGCAGAAAACAATGTAATCCCATTTGTTGATTCTTGATGTTATTTCCAGAGTTACCAGAGCTCTAAGTCTCTATGTGTACACATGGGTTCAAGTACTTCCTCGTTATTTTCCAGCATTTTCAAAGTTTACATGTGTACCTAGGTCTTTGATCCATTCTGATTTGATTTTAGTTTCTGCTGCAACCTTCTGTATATGGATATCCAGTATTCCCAGGAACCATTTGTTAAACAGGCTATTTTTCTGTAGCATATTCTCAGCTCCTTGTCAAAACTCATACAGTTGTAGCTTTATGGGTTTCCTTCAGTCTTTAATTCCGTTTATCTTTGTTTTTATGATAGCATCACATTGTTTTTGTGACTGGCTTTGTAATGTAACTTTTAACTGGTATTATGATGCCGCTAGCATTGTTCTTTATGCTCAGGATAGTTTTTGGTTATTCTGGGTCCTTTTTTTAAAAAAACCTTTTTATTCTGTATGTATTTGGGGATCGGAATTTCTAGCTGTGTGAATGTTCATACAAAAATTTTAATAACCGCACTGAATCTGTGGACTGCTTTTGCTAAGGTAATATGGCCATTTTAACAATATTAGTTCTGCTGATCCATGCACAAAGGAGTTCTTTCCTTTTCTACTGTCTTCAAGTTTCTTTCTTCAGTAAGCCGTAATTTTCATGGTAGTTTATTTTGCTTAGTGGTACTGGATATCAAACCTAGTGCCTCACATTGAATTACATCCCCCCTTTTTAAATGTTGATGGCTAAGTGGCTAACTCACACAGTGCTCAACCTTGAGATCCTACCACCTCAGCATCCCAGAATACTGATATTATAAGGCATGACTACCACACCTAGAACTTCTATCTCTTCCATTGCTAGGAATTTAATTTTTTGGAAGCTATTGCAAACGGAATTGCAAACTTGTCTATAGTAGTCAAAGAACATTTATCATGGTTTGCAAAAAGCCTCTTGCACTTGCTCTGGGGTTTTTTGAGTGCATCTCAAAGACATCACTGAGGCTCCAAGGCCCAATTCCTTCAGCCTTGCATCATGCCCATTCTACCCAGTAACTAAGCACCGTGAACAATCCAGATGATTCAAACATGCTCCCAGGCAACACATTTCATTTTACTGTTTAGAATATGATACTTTTGAAACAGGGTTTTGGGGCTGGGGACTTGGCTCAGTGGTCGAAGCATCTGCCTGGCAAGCGCAAGGTCCCAAGTTCAATCCCTGGTACCACATGCGGTGTCAGTCCTTGAACCCCGAGACGCACCGAAACTGGGTTGGTGGCACACACCTGTAATCCCAGCGCTGGGAAGGCTGAGACAGAAGGATTACTTGGGAGTCCCAATGTGTGGAGACCCTGTACCAAAAAAAAAAAAAAAAAAGACAAGACAAGAAAGTCTCACTATGTAAGTTCAGGCAGGCCTTGAACCCTTGAACACATTGCACTTCCTGCCTGAGCCTCCCAGGTGCTGGGATTGTAAGCATGTGCCACGATGCCCTGCACAGAATGTGGTTTTTAATTAAGTAAAATAAGCCAGTTCTTTTTTCCAATAAACACATTTTTACTTGTACAATTTCACATAAAGCTATGTTGTAAGAATTCACAGTTTCTTATTTTAAGAATACCAAATAATTTTTGTGTAAATGCAGATTTGATTAATCAAAAACACTCTATACCAGTTGTTTACTCGTTTAAAAAATAGCCAATTAAAATGAAATGAGAAGGTAGAATGGATTCTGAGCAGTTTATTACCAAGTTGTTACAGTGTTCAACCAGATCAACATATAAAGACAAAAGACATTAACAGTAAACATTGGGAGATACACATTCCCATTCTGAAAGAAGACATGTTACATATACAGAAAAAAATGCAGCAAATATTAAGGTATTCAAAGTAATTTTTGACACTTCAGATGTGACATATTTACAAGTGTAAATTTTAAAATAATTAAATAATTTTCATACTTATAAAAGAATTAAGATAAATATTAGGAGACCCTGATAATCACAAGAACATTTTCCTATGCAATAGGGTAGGTCTACAAAAAGTCCCAAAAAAGAGCTAATATTTTGCCATCATAAAACATATCAAATTACCAATATCAAAATATGCTCAAAATGCACATGCAATGTGTTAAGTTGTACCAAGGAAAACAGCAGTGGGCTCTTGAGTATTGCAAAGTGTCTATACAGATTTCTTAGGTGTATTTATAAAACAGGAATCTTACTTCAAAAGAGCCATTATAATGTATGTCAACGGAAAAAGTGAACTGCTTAAACCCTTTTCATTCTAACACTTCCAAATGTAGTTGCAGCTGGGTGTGGTGGTTGGTGTACACCTGTAATCCCAGCACTGATACAGAAGGATCCCTGTGAGTTCAAGGCCAACCTGGGCTACAAAGTGAGTTCAAGGTCAGCCTGATCTGCATAGTGAGACCCTGCCTTAAAAGGACCAAAAAGCAACAATAACAAAAACAAAACAAAAGGAATTGCAAAGGAAAAAACTAAGTTTAAAAAATATTAGCTTATGAATAGAAACGGTGGTGGTGTATTCTTATACATACAGATTTTTAAACTAAAACTGAATAATTCTAGTCTGGTATACCTTAACTTCAGGACCCTACTATTGGAATAGGAAATTCCTCTTTTTCTCTCTCAGGTAAGACTTAGTCATTTTACAAAATGAAAAGAAGAAACAGCAATATGTATGAATTCAAAACAAAATAGCACTGTAAAATAGTAAAACATAAAATAGCAGCATGTGAAATTCAAGACTGTTTTTCTTAAAGCAAATGTTAAGGATTGAACTGCTGAAACTAAGGGTTCTTTAGGGAGGTGCTTTTATTCATGATATCCCCATGATTAAATGTATACTTAAATTTTTTTAAACATATATATTGCACATGTAGAAAAATACCAGAATTCTGATCCTAACATAAAAGGATTTTTAACACATTAAACTATGCTACTGAAAATTAATTTTATTCCAATATTTAAAGCCAATCAAATAGGATTTTTGAGTACATTAACCTCAAAGCATTCTTAAACAAGATGAAAAAACACAGGCACTTGAAAATAGATGACAAAAAGTACAGGTCACAACAATTTTATGACTAAGGGCAGTTATGTCTTTACATATAAACTTGAGGTCTTTCACTGATCTAAATATAGAAATAAGATTCACAAAAATTTGATAAAATCAGATCTGCCCCAAATTTCCAACTTTGTAATTTTCACTGAATAACACACTGACCACTGCAAGTCCTAGGCCTTTTCAACCATCTCAGATATACTTGTTTGAATTCTCATTTCCTCTTTTTATCACCCAGGACAACCCATCATCCTCATGCAAAATTTACCACTCACCTCAAGATCCAGGGCATAAGAAAGTTAAATTTCAAAACAGTCCATATTGCAGTAAAAATTCTGCAGCACCACAGACACCCCATAGTCCAGCCATATTTGATGTGGTAATATTGATGAATAAGAATGTGTAAATATTGAACATTTAATAGGAAGTCATAGCATTTTTTAAAGGATCAAAATAAGCATTTTTAATGTTTTTAGTTGTTAAATATTTAAACTGTCAAAGTCACTAGGAGAAAAAAGTATCACACACACGTTTACCACTCCAATGAGAATACACAAAGCTTTGGACAGCTGATACTGAGACAAATTTTTGTCTCGTAAAGGAATTACATTTAATTTGGCTGCTCCCTAGAATATTGGTTTACCAGTTTGTTTAAGAGTGTATCTAAGAGACAGTGAAATATATTATATTAAACACATTTCAATCTTTATCATCTTTGGCTAGAGGCCTCATGAAAGGACACTGAAGGGTAGAAGGGGATTCAGGACCCCATGCTTCCAGCTTACACATCACTAACTGGAAGGCTTGCATCATCCAAGTCCACTGGGTCATTATCTTTTTCCTGAGGGCCATTTTGAGGTTTTAGCATAGCTTGTTCAGTCACTTTGGAAGCTGGTTCTCTTGGAGAGACAGTCTGGACCTTGAAGTTCCCTGGCTTGACCTTGGCAAGAGATTCATAAAATCCTCGCTTCTCCATGGTAAGGCTTGAGACCAGAGAGTTGCTCCGAGAGGCTGTGGAATGTGCGGTGGCTGCTGCTGTGCTGGCAGAGCGGACAGTGTGTTTGGATTCTGAAGGGCAGGTGGGACGCTCCTGGAAAAAGGAGTAGTGGTCAGACACAATCATTAACCACAAGGTTAGTAACTTCGTGTGAGACCTGATTCTCTGAAAAACAACATACACGCACGCACGCACGCACACATAAAGCAGAAGCACGAGCCATGCAGCATCAAGGTGCAAGTTCTTTCCCAAAGCAATGCATTTTTAGGGGTGAGTTAAAAGCAGTGACAGCCAACACCCATTTTCATTAAGAAACCAAAGTTCTTTCACCAAAGCTGAGTTTGGCAGCTTATAACACTTTGAAGATGTAGCCAGCCTAAAGTAGAATAGTGTTCCAACTGCAACTAAACTGTGTTTAAAAGTAACATTATCAGATTTACCATTTTGCATCTACTCTCAACTGACAATGGGATTTATGCCATATATTTCAGAAAGATAAAAGATGCAGAATGTTAAAGTGAAATCAGGCCATAAATTTACTTAATAAGCAGGAATCAAGATTTTTTTCTAACATTATTTGTCTTGCATTCTGATAAAACTGAGTCTTTGCTCCCTTAAATTTTATTACAAACCCATGACAGCAAAGTCTTTTTACTTAATTTAATTTTGAATATGTCACACATTCATACGGCTTAAGATTTTAAAAGGATACCTATTTAATAACTCCTAAAGATTTAATGAACAAACAGCAGTTGTATTGATTTTAATATGATTTTAACTAGATCAAATTTGAAGATGTCTCTAAGTATGACCATTTTAAATATACTGCACAATGAGATTCGTAAATACACTATTTATGGTATTAGTGGCTTTGGGGAAAAAAGTGCTAAAAAATCACTAAGACACTACTAAATCCTACTACATGGCTAAAGTTCACCACATAATTAAAATGCCCTGGGCCAGCAAAATAGCTAAGCAGACTAAGCACCTGCCTGTGCTTGCCAGAGCTCATACCTGGCATCACATGCCACGCTGGCCCTGCCCCCAGGAGTGCAGAGCTGGCCACCAAGACCTAGCATGGTGGCACATTCCAATAATATCAGCACTGGGGAGGGTGAAAACAGGAGGATCACTATGAGTATAAGCTACATAGTGAGACCCTGTTCTAAATACATAAAATAAAATGCCCTGCAAAATTATAGTAATATAATTGCATATTTTATTAAAGGCACATTTCAAATGTTGTATGAAATTAAAACTTGCAGCAACTCAGCAAATTTTCAGAAGCTAGCTTAATGTCTCTCTCCATTAATAAGGTTTTATTTCTTTTTTTTTTAATACCCATATTCAGCCTGATAACTATGGTGAAATAAGTTTGCGTTAGTGTTGACAAAATCAGTTATGACAACTGCAAAGGGCAGTTTGGTTAACTCAACTTTCTATGATCAGTTGTAAGTAGTGAGTAAGTCCAGGCCCTCTACTAAGAAGGCACGTTTGCGTGAGAGCCCACATACGTGCCGCATTCACCAGTTCTTGATGTATACCTCTGTATACAAGGGTTCGACAGCCTTCTGGCCTGCCACATCTGGAACACAGTGCAAAGATTAGAGTTAACCTATACTTGAGAGAGGGAGCAAAAGAGAAAGTTCTGCTGACAGTCATAGCTAGATAGTCCAATTTGCCCCACCACAAAGCACAAAACACAAACACCCTTCTCCAATTTTCCTCTTCCCAACACACTGTTTTTACAGAGAATCTCATACTTGACTGCTGAAAAAGTCACAGAAATGCAGGCAATCACAAAATTAATATCTATGAAAGTGACAGCCTGCAGATGTTCCAAAAAGGATGTAAGCAGAATGATAAAAAAAGAAATGAAAAGTGAATTTCTATTTACTGATCTATAGTTATCACTATTAGGCAACTGTTAAAAGGTAATAATAGTACTATCAGAAAAAATTTTAAGAGTACAGAATACCTAGCATATATTTAAAAAATCTAGAAAGTAAAGACTATAATGCACATTAGAATTTTTTTTGCTGATGACACTGCTATAATTTTTCATTTTTCACTGGGATTTGCACTGTCAGCTCAGGGATAAGTGGTCAAAATATCCCACAGCACTATTTACTTCTTAATGATGTATTTGAACATGAGAAATATTTTCTTCCTATTTTTGAGTAGAATGTTTTTAGTTATTTCACTTTCATTATCACAGTACCAGAAAGATAATTATGGTAGTTTTCAGAAGCAAGCTTTTATATTAATCTGCTAGAAAATAAGAATTTAAAAAAAAGAAATGGAAAATCCTGAATGGGACCACTAACAAGGTATTTAAGGCTCTAGCTTGTTTGGTGGTATTATGTTAGTAGCCAATAAACAAATAAAACTAACTGAAATGGGGAAGCAAGGGAAAAAATTGAGATATCACAAAACTGTAACAAAAGAACTAAATGTACCTTAAGTGATCAGGCCAAATTGAGACCTACTGACAAGTAACAACTGCTAAACAAAGCAAGGAAATGTTTATTCTTTAGTGATATTGCTTGTGCATTTAACACAATACAATGCACAGAAAGTTATGTATACATAACACTACAAGGAAGCATTAAATTAGAAACGGATTATTTTTTGAAAGTCCAATTGGTATGAAAGTCAACATGCAAATAAATTTCAATAAAGAAAGAAACAAGAAAGATTAGGGGGACAGGAAGTAAAACAAAAGGTGAGTTCCCTATAGGAGTATTACCCCAGAGAAGGGGGAACCTACAGAAGAGGCTGATCTCCCAGGCCCCCGCTGTGCCACAATGGCGCCGGAGACCGCTTTGATCCAACTATGCATTTCTTCTGGGCTATCAGCCTAAAGGAGAGAAAGGACGCATTCAATTTTCTTCTAAATTACCTTTTACTTCTATAAATTCAATGCACTTATTCAGCAATTTACACCGTCACCAAATGATTTTTCTTTTTATTTTTTATTTTATTAATTTTATTGAGAAACAAATAGCAATGAGACAGTTTCAAAACCGATTAGTAGGACAGTTTCAATAACTAATACAGTGCATATTGTTGTCTTCGTAGTAGTTATTCATAGTACAAGATGCACACATGATACCCTGTCTAAACACTGTTAGTACAAATCTTTCTTCTCAGTGAATTAAGAGAAAGTAGCTGTATATCTATCTTAACTATTTTGAATATAGAAAATCATTCTAAAATAATACCCCCTCCCTCAATTTTAGAAGCACTTTTTAAAACCAGGTTTTGTTGGGTTACTATACAGAGATATAAACTGGGCACTTAATGTTTTAAGATCAGACACGTCAAAAACGTCAATAATGTATATCTCTAGAAACAAATTAAGAACACAAAGCTTTTATTTCCTTTTAGCAACTGCTACATTACCTGAATATGCTACAATAATATATACCTGTCATTTAAAAATATTGACATTATTTTACTAGAAATAACTTTCACTCATATCCTGAATTCTAAAAGGAATTTTGAAAATCATATCCCAAAGTATCTTATTCCTTGACAGGGACTGGCTTCCACTATGACTTTAAAACCTTACTATAAAATTGGTCCTATTAAACAGTGTCCTAAAAAAAAAAGGGTCCTAAAAAGGTGTAGAGATACTATTTCTTCTAGATTTAAGAATTCTGTGATCTCTTATCTCCATCTAGAAATAGATCTAAAACTAAAATCTAAAAGTTCAAAAACTTTAAAGAAAATAGGAACGGAATTCCAGAAACAAATTTCACAACAAAGAAGAGATTCATGCTGTGATGGTTAATCTAGAACTTATTCTACAGAAATCAGAAATTCAGGCAAATTTATGCATAATGATGTTCATCACATTATTTATCATACTAAGTACACAAAACTATGTAAATAAATGTTTAGTAACAAAATAAACATAAGCAGTTTATGTGTGGAACAACCATACAAGAGGGTATGGTGAAACTGTCAAAATTCAGAAAATGTTTAATGACATGGGGGAAGATGACTATAATATATGAAACGAATACGATTTAACCCTATATTTAAGTATAACCCCACTCGCTATGAGAAAAGCAACTCAAAAAATTAAGAATGGTTGCTTGAAAGTGGATTATGTTTTTCTGTACCTTTTTAATTTTTATTTTCAAATTTTTCTTCAGTGAACATATATAATGTCTACAAAACAAATTTTCTTTTGAAAAAACTTTCAAATGAAATAATCTAATATGAAAAATAAAAAGTATATTTTAAACTTAAATATAGGGTGCCTCCTATTAGTAAAACTGTAAGATCTGTGTTACTTGTATTAGAAATGTTTGAGCTCTCCTTTTTATAAGATGACAAAAAACTGTAATTACAATTCCAAAATAAGTGGACAGTAATACAATTTGAAGGTATACATGTAACACCTAAGTTAGAAGAGCATGTCCCAGGTTGGGTGGGGTGGTACATGCCTATAATCCCAGTATTTGAGAAGCTGAAGCAGCAGGATCCCTGCACATTTGAGGCTAGTCAGGCTAACTAGTAAATTTAAAGTCAGTCTGAAGTACATAGGGAGACCTGTCTCAATCACCAACCCTCAAAATAGCATTTCCCTTCCTCCAAATACTTGTATTTAAACTAATTCATAACAAAGATATTCCCATTCCTAAATACCTACCAGTAAACTTTTATACATCTTTTTACTAAACTAATGAATTTGTCATATTTTAATGTCAAAAGCAATTAACACTTTATTCACCACTACAATTAATGATTTGAGAGGCTCTATAATCTCGACATCTTACCTGCACATAGAAAGTTCGAGATGTTGTTACAATTTCAAACAGATTATCCCTCATCATTATGTCACTGTTATGAAAAAAATAATCATCCAATTATACTTAAATAGCATAGTTTGACAGTTTTGATTGTACTTACTTATTCAGTATTAAGTATGTATCAATAATTAAATATTAGAGGTAGAACACTAAACAAATTTAATAAAACCTATTATTTTCACATTCTGTTTTCTGCATTAAGTTCTATAAATTTTACGTAGTTATTTTTAGAAAAAGTTCACAGGCAACTTTAAAATTCAAAGTTTCTAACTTTGCCAGTTTGCTTAAGGATGAAAGTACAATTAATTAGATTTTTGGTAAGGTCTCATTCTGTTGTCTTTAAAATGTTAAACTTAACCATAAAATAACTTATCAAATCTGATGGCACAAGCTGCTCATATTAAATTTCTCTTTCCATTAATAAAGTCTTTATGAATTTTTACTTTGCAAATACATTATTTTACATGGTTAAGTTCAGGATTTAAAAAACTCTAGTATGGTCTAACTCTAATGAGTTAAACATTACTTTTGTTTTGTTTTTGTTTTGTTTGGTCTTTAGGACACGGTGTACAGGGTTGTACAGGGTCTCCTGTGTAGATCAGACTTGTGACCCTCCTGTTTACAGTCTCCCAAGTGCTGAGATTACAGGCATGCACCACCACACCCAGCCTCAACCGCAGTCTCGACCGGGGCCTGGGGATTGAACTTCCAGCCCCTCCATCTGCCTAAGCAGGCGCTTTAATCCACTGAGCTATTTGGCTGGCCCTTAAACATCACTTTAGAATTAATTTAGAAAAATATAATCTGTAAGCATAATGAAACTAAGGTACTGCTCTGTATGACTTAAGTGGTGCTAATATCACGCCAGCAAGTTCCTTACCTTTGCTTACATTCTTGGACTTTATGAACCTCTTTAAGTGGTATTACACGGAGAGGTTCCTTTTCCTGGCAAAGAAGCAAACAAAAAGACACAGTAGATTTATTCTTAAGAACCTTTTAAAGGTTGATTTTCCTATTTGTAGGCCAATGGGAAAATTAGACTTCTCTTTTGAAGTACATCCAAGCTCCAAGCTGCAAATCTACTTTCTTAAACCACAGAACATCAAAAAATATCAATTCAGGGGCTGGGGAGATAGCTTGGTGGTCCAAGTGCCTGGTTGGCAATCACAAGGACCCGAGTTTAATCCCCAGTACCACATGCTGTATTGGCCCCAGAACTCCGGGTACACCATGCTGGGCCCAAAACTGGGCATGGTGAGGCACACCTGTAATCCCAGCCCTGGGGAAGCTGAGACAGGAGAATCACTACGAGTATGAACTACGTAGTGAGACCCTTTGTTGAATAAATAAAGAAAAATTAAAAATAATTTTTAAAAAAGAAAGTATCAATTCAACACCTTTATAAACATTGTTGTTCCAAACAAGATTTCTGGCCTCCATGATAGTACAGCATATTAAAAGGCAATCTGTTTCAGAAAAGGAAACTATATTACTTGAATATACTGACTATGAACAAAACTGCCATTTCTATGTTTAAAATAAGCACACTACTTCTTCTTCTGGAATGTCATTTCAATACACATATACGGTGAACAAAATATACAATGAACGTTTAATTCCTTTTTAAGTTACCACAATAAAATTACTACATCAGTCTCCTTTAAAGACATTCTCTCTTGTTCTGAACACTTACCATATGGTTACTGTACTTCCTCAAGGAGTTCTTGGAGTCCTCTTTTGTATCTTTAAAAAAAGCTTGTGGTGCTGGGTACCATCCAGCACAGAGGCTTGTAAAAAACATTATGGTTTGTCCTCATCCACCTCATTCACTAGCTCTTATTCACCATATGACTTCTGACTCTCCCACGAAGTCAGAATGACCATGAAAGGTAAGTGTGTTCAATCAATTCAGGACCCTGAAGCAGCCACAACAGTGCAACCAAAGACACCCAGGGAAGAGAACTTAGAGACAGCTTCAGAAGGTGGCAAGAACAATAGGATAGGGGGCCGGCGAGATAGCTCAGTAGAATAAGGGCTTGCCTGGCAAGCACAGTCTTCAGTTCAATCCCCGGTACCACCAAAAAAAAAAAAAAAGCAAAAAACAACTATAGGATAGGTATGCTCAAGATATTTATAGGGATTAAAGGGCAATGCAACTTGATTTGAATATATCATTTCACTAGTATCACTTTAATATGAAGTACTATTTATTGAACATTTACTGTTAATCTGTTTTTTGAAAGAGTTATCTTAAATTTTCTACAACTCAATACATATACCAATATTCAGCAAAAGAAACTGAGGATTAGATATATTAAATACTTCAAGGTAATTAATATAAGACATAACTGGTTCCTAATATAATATTATACATTTCATTAAACACTGCATTCTAAATTTCACTTAATATGTTATCATGAAATTAAGACATTCTTTTATGCAGCAACAAGAAAAAAATCAAAATATGGTAGGACACTTTCTCTTAATCAAATTGTTTTACAAAATAGTTTACAGAAATCATGCAAAGAATGTCTACATATTTTGTGCTTCATTTTTTTAATATTTATTTATTTAGTGTGTGTGTGTGTGTGTGTGTGTGTGTGGCCAGCTCAGCACACCAGGGGGCGGGGCTGGCTGGCATGTGGTGCTGGGGATTGAACCG